TTAAATACCAAGTAATAAAGTTTCGTTAAGAAAATGCCTGAGGTGTATCTGAAGAATTCACCTAGATTTGCAAACTAAAAATATTTAACAGTTTATTCCTTCCTTTTTCCAGTTGGTTCTTATTTTGAGGACAAAACATCTCTAAAGAAAGAATCTGGCTGCAGGAATAGAGAAACACTGATAACTGCGCTGCTGCTTGGGTGTTTCTGTGATATCACATGTCTATCACTTCAGAACAGCAGGAGAAAGTAAGTGTGAAATTTTAGTACAAACTTGTTACCATTCTGTGAGCTGTCACCATTTCCTCACTCCAGTCCTCCAGCATTTATGTTTCCCTTCAGGATCCAGTTCTGCTGAGGTACTAACACAATTTAAAGGCAGCTCAGGAAACATTATATCAAATTTTTAAAATTTACAAAATCATTCATAACCACTGGACTCTGCCATTAACCACATCACATAACTCCCTTAGCTTACTGTTTTGAACTCTTACAATTAAAAAAAAAATCAAAAGAGTACAAACATTGGGCAGGATGAACTGGGCCAGCAAGAGCCAAAGTATTTCATTTTATCCTTTTATTTTTTTAAATGTTATTAAATTTTTGTTTAGAAATTTTCAGCATTCTGAGTGGCATATGTAGAATTAATCTCCTTGCCTTCCGCCCCATGGACGAAAAACTCACAAATCCAGGCTGCCCAGTGCTGGGGAAGGACTCACCAGACTGTAAGTCATCATTTTAGAGATACAGCAGTGCAAAGTTCACAGGTGCTGTTCCTGTCAGGTAATTGTGTTGAGATGTTTATGCAGGCCCTACATTAATTCATTTTCACAAATCAAATTTTGCTTTAATGAAAAAATAGAACCAGAAAACAATTTTCTTGCAAAACTCTTTGTGTCTTGGTTTACTTCTGTGTTTGGCTTGGCTCTCCACTATCATGTAATTTTGAGGTGCACCATCCATATTCCACTCATCAGTACTCATTTAAAGGACCTGGAACTGCCCCAAGACCACTGGGTTAGCACACAGAAGTAGTTCAGGATCTGACAAAGCCTGTCTGACTTCACCATCCTGCATGGCCCAAATCAGCATGTACTTCAATTTTGGCACAAGAATAACTTTTTGATATAATATAGTATTTAAAAACTCATCACATTTTGTTTCATGAAGCACCAGGTAAACTTTCCTGTTTGTAGAAATGGATCTTTTGGGTGTACAACTTACTGTTAAATCTGAGAGCTTAATGCATGAGAACATATATACAGTATTAGTGTAAACATGCAAGGATGCTCACATAGAACTAAGAGAAACAATTAGTAGTTGAAAACACAAAGACAGTGAAATGTCTGAAATCAGTCAAGTATTTGTCCATGTAAAACAGACCTTGTAAAGCACTCTCATTCTTGCTATGCAGTAAGTGAAGGCAGCAGAACAGATGAAAGGATTTTTTAACTGGAAAATGAACAGGACTAAGTCTGTCTCTCTGTCCTTCTATAATTTTCTGCTTTATTTCTGTATGGATAATATATTCTTGCTTTCCTATTTGTTCTCCACAGTGGAAAAGTCTTATCTCCCACACCAAAGCCTCAGGGAGGCCAGCACTGGACACACATGAGGAGCGTGGAAGCTGATCATGTTTGGCAGGATCTTCAAGAGATCCCTAACTCAAAGGGAATTCTTGTTTTACTCCAGATTGTTGATGACAAATCAGTCTTACTACTTTTGAGCTGGTGCAGTGCCCTTACAAAAATCAGTGCAAGACGCATATTATGACACAGTAAAGGAGTTTGCTTCCATGCTGTATTCAATTATAGATGGGAACTAATTCCCAGAGTTGCAAGAACATTTTGAAACAGTGTTCAAACAGTGAATAAAATCTCAGATTGGCTTGAATGTATTTTGAGGAGCTCAGGCAGGTCTGAATATATACCAAAGACATAAATTTATCATTTAAAGGAAAAGAATATCAGGCAACTGATATTCTAGCTGCAAAAGCTTTCTTGCTGTGCTTGACACCACTCTGCTTAGCTCATACACAGCTTAGTGAATCCGATGCTTCTAGAATTTCTACATGACATTTCAGAACCAAGGATATGTTTTCCAAGCATGCCTTTATGAGGTTTTAATGGTGATACAGATGAAATTTGTGATGAACTTGCGGTGCTAATAAGTACCATACCCATAAAACTGTCCTCAAAAGATACCTCTGCTGAGTTGCTGCATGAAGCTCCAGGCATCTTTAACAACACTGGCAACTGTTATGGCAACAGGTAATCAAAACATATCTACCTTGATTCTAAGACATAACAAGCTCATTTAAGTGGTTTAGTTACGTCATCTGTTGATGACATTCTAAATCTTGATTATTCAGAATTGTTTGATGGATTCAACATAGAAGTTTACAAGTGAAACTAATCATATTAGTTCTAATGGGTTGCAAAAGATTCTATCTAATTTATACAATAGGGAGTTCAAGATAATTACTTTTGTCATATGATATGCAATGCATATAGTTTGAAATAAGAAACCATATTTTCCAGGATGTTTGTTCTTAAAAGCATATGCATATTGATGGTACATTATGAAATTCCACATTATTTCTTTTTTTAGGATTTGTGGCATTTGTTGGCAAGTTAATCCTTTCTATTTGCAAGAGACAATGTTGTAGCAGATATTTTATAGTGTTATATATTCGACTTCTCTACTCATTTCAAAGAACACACTTGTAAAACCGGCAGGACAAATGATTTCACTAAAGCAGTAATTTGTATTTCAATTCCATTGAAGGACAAGGTTGAGGGAAGGAAAGCCAGAAATCAGCAACAGGAAAGAAGAACATAACTGAAAAATGTAGAAAATTCAAGGCTGATTTTCTGAATTAAGTTCAAATGCTGAAAAAATAATATGGCTTCCTTCCTGTAGGTTTGCATTCTGACTGTGCACTCGTATATACAAATTTCATATGCAACCTTCCCCTGTAGTAAGTAATATTTGGAACACTACATTTATATTATGCTACAGCTTTCACAATGTATCTTCACTAAGTTTTGACCAAGGATATGCTGCTTGCCAGTGAAATAAATAATTTTGCCTTTTTAAAATGTGGTATACAGGGTTTACATCATTACCACATCGTATGAGACTCCAGTATTGGATGTTTCTAGGACCTCCTAAATTAAACTCTTGGCAAATTTAATCAAAAGTAGGTCAAAGATGCTGCTGGTATAGCTGTCTATGCCACAAAAATTTACATTTGCTGTGTATGGATGCAGAGTCAGGTAAAAAAGAAGAGGCATGAGAAGGTGGTGACCAATCAGTGCAATTCATGGGAGGAGCAGGTCACTTCTTTGGCTGTGCAGCCATGAAGTGATAAGCTCTGAGGCACAGCTTGGGCAAGAGTGTGGTGAACACTCTGTGGACCACTGCCACCCTTCTAGCAAAGTCATGATGGAGAATCTGGGATTTCCAACACCTGGGTAGACATTCCAACCCCACTGGCCTCACAAGTCCTAATGACAGAAAAGTCAATGAGGCCATGTGGTGCACTTGGGCTAGGGCTAGTCCACCACAGTACTCAAGGAAATCACTGCGACAAACCATCAAGGCCTTGCAAACATCCTGCTTGCATTTTTTGAAAATGATTAGGTTTGCTCCTCACCCTTAGCAGATCTTGTACACACAGTCCTTCTCGAAGTATAGATCTGTATCTGCATCTTCTCTCTATGGTGAGCCTGTAGGACTGGAAGAGTGTTTGGCACTTGGGTTGTGTGCAGCAGCCATCCTTGCAACCAGGAACACCTCCTATGCACATGAAGTGTACACATGCACTGACTACAGCAGGGACACAGGAAGGAAACCATGGCAGCAGAGGAAAATCTGTTTTTGAGATGACTTAGAGGTGATTTTTGATCCTCTAGCATACAACATACTGGAAGCCCCGGGAGAAACCCAAGCTGTAGCTCACAAATACAATGAGTCATACAGCCACAGGCTTGCTCTGTATCATCCTCTGCCAGCAGGATCCTTCTTCTATAGATAAAAATACATCTCTAGCCACATAAAAACTTCCTGTTTCTGCTCACAAGTGACTATTACTCTCTGTCCCAGTCACTGCCCTGTTTGACGTATGAGCACTCATTACATGACCAACTCCCTGACTTCATTTTCCCATCCACAGGAGTATATGACAGAAACGAACACTTGTGGTTTGTCTCATGCTTCTGTCATATACTGAGGAGGTACATAGCATTTATCCCTCAAAGTCCTTAGCAAATAAAGTGGCCTGTGCCAAGTGAAAGCTTGACTACTGCTGGCCTGTGCAGCACTGTTATATGCAGAAGGACTTGGTATTCACTAAACAAGTTGAACCAGCATAAACCCTTGGATGTTAAATTGACATCTGAAATGGGATCCAACATTTAAAATGTTTCTGAATGTCACACCAGTATTCACTATTTCTAACCAGCAGTCCTCTGAGGACTGAGGTGTATTTTTAAAATCTACAGTTGGCTAAATGGTGTGATGATTGAAGGCATTTTACCAAGACCTGTTTTCTGCCCCTAATAATTTTATTAACTTAGAACAGATATACAACAAATTGTTTACAAATATATAGTCTTTTTCACTTGCATGGATTGGATTAGAATCTGAAAGAGTCAATAAAGAGAAATCAGTGTAATCTTTTTCCTACAGAAGCTTAAATGAATACAGCTTGAAAAACTTTAAACTCCTTTAGCACACTCTTTAGACTCAGAAGTTAACAAAATTTTGTTTAGGTGTAGCCTTCTCAGTTTCCCCTCTTCAACTACCTCTGCCTTGTGTGCTCTTTCCGTTTATAAACTACCTATTATCCTACTTTTTCTTTTAAATGAGCATATAGTGCCAATTAGTAGGGAATTTAAATGCAAAACCAAAACAAACTTAAAGCAGCCAAATTGTGCTCGAACTGCTTGATCATTTTATTCATTATGTCCATAAAAACATACCTCAGTTAGTCTCCGGCAAAGTTTTTAGTGGCTCTTTTACTGTGTTAATTTCCACTCCAACCTTAGCAAGGAACAGTACTTCATATACTACAATTACAGCTGTGGAGATATTAGCCTGTTCCATGACTGGAATGTAACAGCCTATTCTGCTTGGACTACATCACAATTCAAGTATTCATGTAATTTCCCATCATATTTTCAGGTCTGGTATTCTCTAAAGCCCTAATCCTTACCTCAAGCATATTTTGGTGCTCATCTCAATGTAACAAGATGATGAAATTGTTTGATCCTCTATTGTTTCTGTCCTGCTGGGATTCACAACCATGCTAAAGCTTTTCACATATACCTGTTCAGATTGTCTCTGCAGATGAAGTTCTCCCAGTCAAAACAGGAATATGCAACAAGGTCTTACTAGTTGAAGATCCCTAAAATATAGAGAGGTCTGAGTTCACTCCAGCTGTGTTAACTATTCTGGAGGTTCTTAAATGGAACTCTGGAGATCTTTAGATCTGATAAAATAGAAACCACTGCTGCATCTGTACCAGTCAACTTTGATTAAACATACTTATATGAACCTCCATCCATCTTTGTTACCTGATATCTTGGGTTTTGCTCTTCAATATACAGGAATGTGTTTCAAGTCAATCTTTCTTCACTTTCCAATACTTTCCAGATCCCATTGCAAAGACCAGCCTTCTCTATCTCTCTTTAAGTAGCGGGCTACTAATAGAAAACTGTACATGAATCTGGTTAATCAGTGTATTTGATACCGCCAGAGAGCAGACTGCTAGTCTGTTTTCAGCTGGTCTAGGTATGATCCCAATCAGAGATACCGGTTTCTTCCATGAGGACTACTTGAGCTGTGGGAAGACATATCTCACTATTCTGTTGTGTTCATGGGTGGGCATATATCATAGCTAGAAAGGATGTACCCAGCATACATCCCTGATTTTTCTTGCTCTAGGAAACCAAGTCCTAGAGGTGATAGCCATATTATTTGGAAGGATTAATATCCATTTTATAAAGACTTCTAAATCACTAAATTATCTCAGTTCTTTTGCATCTGTACATTTTCTATACATTCCATGTTAACATGCATAAGACTCTCTTATGGTACAAATTGTGCAAAGGTTTATGTATTAGTAACTTCAGTAACTTCCTTTAGGATTTTTAACCCTTTTAGGGTTACCACTCATGTTGTCTTCTGGGCAAATTAGGGGAATGTACCTACGACTGTCAGGTGGTAGGTCATTCTCTGAAAGCAAGCTGTCAATTCAACTAAGTTAATCACCACTTATGGGCAAAACTAATTGCCCCTCAAACCTCCACAACTGTAACCTGTAGTAGACTCAGACTGCTACCCAGAAGCTAACTGCCTGGTTTTGGAGTCATCTGATGTCTCACTTTGAGAGCACACAAGCTGGTGTGTCACAATAAGCCCTTACAGAAAATTGTTTATTTATTTTATGCTGTTTCTTTTTTTATCAAATCAGTTATACTGCATAGAATTATCCCATCAGCAACAGTCTGTGTGACAGAGATCTGCACCTGTAGCAGCATGAATCACTTTCTTCAATTTGGCACTTTCTAAACCATAACAGTTATTTTTGATTTCAAGAAATGAAATTTTCTACCATTTTACATACTTTCTTTCTGTTTTTCAGAAAAGTACAAAAGATCTGAAAGTTCTTCCACTGCTATAAGATCCATGGTCTACTTATGGCTGACGCAGAAAAAGAAAGCCAATAACATTGTAGTGGGCTGTCCCTGGCTGGATGCCAGGTACCCACTACAGCTACCCTCTCACTCCCCTCTGCAACTGGACAGAGGAGAGAAAAAAAGCAGCAAAGGATTCAGGAATTGATATAAGAGCTGGGAGAGGTCACTTACTTATCACCATCACGGGCAAAACAGGCTGAAAGTGGCGATATTTACTGAATTTATTACTAACAGGGTCAGAGCAAAAGAGTGAGAAGTAAAATAATCTTAAAAACACCTTCCCCCCACCCCTCCTTTTTCCATGTTCTTCCTCCTCCCCTCCCCAGCAGTTAAAGAACAGGCTGCGTCAGCCTTTTAACATTTGGTACATGAGCATTACCTCATTCTAGTGTTTCTCTTCAAGACTTTTTTTTCCTAATATATAAAAAAGTGGTTGCTCATGAAGAAAGTGGTCTGGATAAAGAAGTTAGCAGTTTGTGAAGGAAACCCCAGAAACACAGCCTGCTTTGGGACTGTAACTTCCACATGGTAGTTGGGTTAAATATCTCATCTTTTGTAGATCTGCTTAATTTTGTATGCCTATGAAGGTCTCAGAAGTTGTTTTCCTACCTCATGCAGGAAAATAAAAGTTATTCAAGGGCACTCCTCCTCTTCCAAGCAGGCCAATGCAGAGTTTGTACTAAGTCCAAAGCTAGAGTTTTCCAGTAAATAAATGTAGGAAGTAATTTAGCATTAGCTATATAAATGCATTATTTCCAACCTGAATGCAAAGTCTGTCTTGCCACCTAATTGATTTAATCCAAGCCGTTAGGGCATAGCATAATCTCAGCACTGAAAACTGCTGTAGCTCTGTGGAAATGTTGCCTCATTCCCACTGCAGCAGAATGAACATCCTTCAACTCAGGAAAATTTAACTGTGAGGAAGAACATCTATTCTAGTACCTCTACAAGCTTTTACTCTACTTTTTTCTTCATGCTAGTTTCAGGAAATAAAGGTAACCTTGGTGAGCAGCACCAGAAAGCTTAAGAAAAGTAACAAGAAAGTCACTGAAACTAGATTTTCTTAAGATGTGGTAGATATACGTAACAGCACGTAGTAAGCCTGGGCAGGGTTTCAAAAGTAAATTGGATGCACGGATGATTTCTGACTCAGGAACAACACACATACATGTAATGTCTGCTGTTTAGAGACACCTATATTTGACTTGTGAACATTCTCAAACCTATACCTCCATAAAGAAATTCTCACCAGCTGCAATGCCTTTAAGAATTTATACATAAAAACCGCCACACTGTACTCTGGACCAACTGTGATTTCTATGTGTATAAATGAACTTTACCTTTATTTTCTGTTAATTTTTGGGCCTGCTGAGATGCAAGCATGCATCTGAAAACGATAACTCTGTTCTGAACTGGTATGGTCACAGACCTGCAATGATAGTGTGTGAGCATTAGCAGTCACCACTGTTTGGCTTTCAAGACCCTCCTTTGGTCATCATGACATCCACAAAAAAATTTCCCCTTTTAGTCCTCATTATCTCATAATTTGCAAGTAACACAGAGTGAAGGTAGATTGCTAATTAGGTGCCAAGACTGATTTTCTTACTTTAAAAGGGTAAGTTTGGACTCTGCCTAGGGTAAAAGAAACAGAGGAGAAATACTGAAGGAAATGGTGACTCTTCCTCCGACCCCTGCACTCCCCAACTCCCTCCTCATTTCCCTCTCTGCACACCTGCAGCTCAGCTCCTTGTGCCCTGTCAGCGGCAGACTCACAAAATAAGGTGGTAGGGGAAAAATAACCCTTGGAGATTGAGCAGAGAGGGGGGCTGGGGCAGGCTAAAGGACAGGAGAGGCTGTTAGAGCCGTTGGGGGGTGACAGTTGTGCAGCTGCGGGAGAGTCCCCAGGTGAGCGGCTGCTCCAAGGCAGGGACAAGGTGGGCAGGTGGGCAGGGGGCTGGCGCTGCCTGTCTGCTCCCGGGTGGGCACCCACCTCAGGAGTGAGTGGCGCCCAAGACGATGTGAGATGGTGTGCTTGTCAAGGAGAGTGTGTGTCAAACCACTGGGTGCACGAGCACCTAGGTGCTCTTCCAGGTTACGTACGGCACCCTGCGTAGATACTGTCGCCCCTGGTGTGTGCCTGTGCATTTTCTCACTTCTCATGTTTCTCTGTGTGTGTGTGTGTGTGTGTGTGTGTGTGCGTGCAGGAAGGGGTCTTACACCTGCATCATGCGGGCTCACCCAGGCCTGCTCGTGGAGAGGGCCTGCACGGATGACTGTCCACCTGTGTAGTGGAGGTGTGTGTTGGCCTGTTTGGGTGCCTGCAGAAGAATGAGTCTCTGCATGCACTTGTGAAAGCATACAGGCATGCATGTATGTGCAAGCTGCAGTGTACCTCAGTGAGTGTTTTCCATCCATGATTTCTTGTATTTAATCCAGTTTCATAGAATTCAAGGGTAGGGAGCAGATGGTCCATCAGACTGCTATCTAGGAACACACAAGGATCTGCTGTCATACACAAGAACTTATGCACAGGGAACTATATGTCTGTATGCATGCATTTACACACAGGTGCATGTAAAAATCTCACAAGCTCTTGAGTATCTTCACATGTACATCTTCTATGTATATATGTCAATGAGGGTTTGTACTAAGATATAGAATGTCTGTCTGCAAAGACTGTGCATATCTGAACGTCAGTTTGACACTGCATCCGGGTGTGCAGCCAGGTCTGGTTTTATATCTGACTAGTTCAAGGAAGCAGTCTTGGTTGTAAAATGTGTAGTCAGAGGTGTAGCATTTGCACATCCATGATGAAGTACGGATAGCAAAATGCCTTGTATCAAGGCTAGAGAAGCATCTTGTCCATAACATAGATAATGGAGAAAATATGCTGGCCTGTTCAGATTTTATCAGTATAATACTGACTGCATTACTGAGAGAATGGTATGTGAAAATTATATTTAAAAGTATAGATGTCATGTGTATCTTCACATGTCTGTTTCATGCAGCTACTATTCCATACTAATGTGTATCTCTATATTTGCATACAACAGCAAGTGTCTGTTCTGCAGTGCTTTTGTTTGTCACCTGAGCCTGTATGACTGCATATTTTTAGTTGGGGAGTGTGTGTAGGACCATTGGGATGTATAGGCCATTATCACATGTGTGGTTTATGTTTTGCAGATCTAGCCTTACAACACTTTGATTGTCATTGCTCAGTGACAGAAGGTAACACTGAAAGACATGCTCTTTTGCTGAAGATTTCCTACTAATATGCCGTATTTCCATCTGTTAGTTTCCTCTAGATTCAATAGTAGTATCATCTCCTCAGTCTTTAAAAGACAGAAATTAATGCCATGCTCTGTCTCACTACCTGGGTTAAGGGATTTGAAGAAAGCCTGCATTTAAAGTTTTATTTCTTAACAATATTTTTAGATCAGTGTTTAGATTAGAGTTCTCACATTGACCACTATGCCTCAGTCTGTGATCTGAAGGGAGCAGCTTTGATGGGAATATCAGGATAGTTCAAACTCTGGACATATTTGCTTGTTGACTTGTCAGATAACAGTGCCAGTGGAGGTCACATTCATGGTGGCACTTTCATTTTACTCAAGATGAAGACCCCCATCTTAACCAAGAACTTTGGAAACTCAGGCTCCTGATGCAGTGATAACATTTATTGTTCAGTCAAGATTCATTTGGAAACAGAAGTCAAACTTAATCCACATATGTATCTTAACTGAAATCGTTGTCCTGCCCAGTTCACAGTTAATTATCTACTGAAAAAAAAAAAAAGAAAAGAAAAAAAGAAGGACATTGTTTATTAATGACAGAATAATGAATGTATCAGGATTTAGTTTGGGAGATTAGTTATGGGGCACAAGTATGTCATTGCTTTTCGTGTATCCCAGCAGACAGGAGGGTCGATTTGATGTTATCAGAGTGGAAGCTCTTTAATCAATATTTTTCTGAAATGGTCCAGTGTTACAGCAGCTGTCATCCCATCAAGGTCCCTGTAGCTAATCTAAAGAATTATAAGCTTGAAAATTGTTGAGGCCAAAAGTTTTGAACACCCTAGGAAATTAAGAAAGTAAATTTTGTTCTGTTTCTTTTACTATCAGGGCTTGGCAAACAAGTTGTATATTGCTCCACAGAATTCCCACATGGGGTATTAACTGCCATTGCTTTAGGAGCTTCAGTTGAGTTAATTCTAAGAGAATCAGAAGGCAGTGATGTTCTGAAAACCATATAAATCAGTTCTGCACGTCACACAGTTTTTTAAAAAACTGTTAAATGTGCTTCATATTTTAATGTTTCCCATAATTACAGGGAAATGGCAAGCAAGAAGAAAGAAGTCCCACTCCAGGTATAAATCTTAATGGCTTAAACTATTTGAGAGAGGAAGAGATGTTTTTTCTCCATTTTAAGATGTTAAAATATCAGTTAATTTTATTTCAGATCATAATAACCAATCAAGACCAGTGGGATGAAATGCTGCAGACGAATGGTATAGTAGGTACTAACAGTTGCTATTTTCTGTTTAGTCTCTCATGGAAATATGTAGTTTTTCATACTTATATTTCACCTTTAATAGATACTCATAATGAACCAAGATGACTAGTGCCCTATTATCTTTTAAAGAAAGGCTATATGAATATATATTTATAAATGTATGTCAAAGAATCATTTCCGATATGGTATTGTCTATGGTAGGGGGTTGGAAACTTCCATGGAAGTTTTTCCCTAAAATTTTGCACAGACTAAATTAATACTGCTGCATTCTTGAGAGTGCATGTTCTATGATGTATATTATTCCCAGTTTTCAGTTCAGTTAGTCCAAAACCAATGCCTCCTAGGAATTGTATTTGGGTAGGAGGAACAAATATGTAATAGGATCATATCTACAGAGGGTTAGTAATGGGAAACAAATGATCTGCACAGGTCAGGGAGGTAAAAGTCTTGCAGAAAAAAGACCTAGATAAGAATGAAAAGCAACAGTGAGAAAATAAAAAGAACAACTAAAAGGAAAAGGAATGTGAGACAAAAGATATTGTTCAAATTAATAACCTCAAATAGTCTCAAAAGTAAGTTTTCTATGTAAAAAGTAATTGAAATGAAAGAGGAAACCCTAATGTATCCACTGAGTACCTTGACTTATTCATGATGCATTCATTGACTAGAAGAGGACTGAAAGATACATGAGAATGCCTCCCCAGTGCTGTTGCAATCTAAACATAAATGTGTCTCATTTTATAAGTTCCACAAGTCAGCTGTTTGTAATTCCAAACTATTACATTTTAGTAATAGATGTGTATCAAGCTTGGTGTGGTCCTTGCAAAGCTGTGATGAACGTATTGAGAAAATTGAAGAATGATTTTAGTGAAGACAATGTGTTACATTTTGCCGTGGTAAGGATGCAAATTTTGTGTGGGACTTTATTAACATTTTAATTTAAATATATCTTCTTATCTGCATATACAGAGCTTTCATTTTACTGTCTTTATGATGAGTTGTCATAATTTTGGCCTGCTTGCCTCTTCTTCTGCATGTCTTCTCATATGGTTTTGTCTAGAAGTAGATTAAAAATGGAATAAATATGTAGGAAGCTATAATAAAATGAAGCTGATATCCCAAAACTTTTGTTTTTCTTGATGAGATTGCAGAAATATTCAAAAGCCAGCCTATATGATTTTCAGTTTTATGTCTTTATATTATGGATTATCACATTTAAAATTCTTGTGTCCCTGAAAAACTGTTGCATTTTTTATCTCAAATATTCCCTTGTATTTCATTTTTAAGAGAACAAAAAAGGGGAAAATTAAAAATAAATTATCACTGAACTGTAGTAGTAAAAATACCTATTTACACTAGTAGTATATATATACTTCTTCCTTTATGTATGTTATTATAACCTACATGAGAAAATAGTATCAAGAGAAGACATTATTCCATGATTGATTGCTGTAGTATTGAGAAGACAATTCCATGTTACCAAAACAGTTCTTTCTTCATCACCATAAGGACTGTTACTTGTATTTAGGACTGTAGTTTGAGTTTGTAACACCAAAGCATGTAGGAATGGGGTTTTTTGGGGGGCAAAAAGGTTTACACATATCAATCTATCTGTATGTATATATATATATATATATATGCATACACACTTTTGTAAGCAAATAATCTTTTTTGTCTGACTTCAGGCAGAGGCTGACAGCATTGAAACTCTGAAACCATTTCGAAAAAACTGTGAACCTGTGTTTCTTTTTTGTGTTGTAAGTACATCACATCAGTTTCTTTTAATGTGCTCCCTACTTTTGCCTTAACTTTTCAAGATTTTGAAATAGATGTGAAGAAGTATAAATTCTCTCTTTACATTTTACAGTATGTAGAATGGT